TGTTTCTTGTCAAGGCAGCAAGCTGACACAAACTCCCCAACCATCTCCTGTAACATGGTCAGCTTAAGGTATATCTTGTAAAAATTTGCACTTATCACTAAACAGTGAAGGATTCTTTAGTTAAAACAGTTTGCAGCTGTGTCAAATGAACGTAGTTTTCTGTTGCGTTCGATTGCCGATCAGTCTTCTCCTGAATGAGAAGTGGCTGATGGACCTGAGCTCAGTAAATAAAAGGCTCTATTCAAATTTCTGTCTGGTTGCTGTGCTGAGTGACCCTTAACATCCTGGACCTGCCAAATGCCTTGTCCTAGCTTATTTTCTTCTTTTCACAGCTCTGGTGCTGAGCTGAGTTTCCTGCCGAGAGCTGATACCCCAACATAGTGCCCTGATGGCAGGAAGGCGGGGGCTGGCCAGTCAGTCCAGTCAGACATGTACATCTCCAAAGCCGCATGTTCTGTTGAGCCTTGATGGTGCTCCGGCTTTGGTTTTTTGTGGTATTGGAGAGACTGTGTCATTATAACATGCGTCTTAGCCTCAAAACTGACTCGCAAAAAAACAAAACAAAACAAAACAAAACAAAAAAAAAAACTCACTCCCCTCCTGCTTCCACCTGGTGGAAATATGTACCCCAAATATATTTGTCAGGAAGCTAATGCTCAGACATGGAGAACTCTCAAGAGTTCAGCTTTCAGTTTTGCAAAAGGCTGTAAGCAAGCCCAGCAATGCGGTAACAGACGCCCAGGTGTTGGGGAAGCTATCTTTCAATTCACTGACTCAGTAAAATGCTTTTTTTTCTTTCAGGATCCGTAACTCAGGAGTACAAGGGAGGTGGTGTTGTGAGGCCGGGTCAGTTTGAAAGGGAAAGTCCTTGGTTGTTTCCTTGGAAACTGGCTGTTCTGGGAAAAGCACATCGTCACCATTTCTTGGAGCTCAGGAAATTAACAGCAGGGAATGAGGAGCTGAAGATTTGGCGGGGCACTGAAATCCAAACTAGTCTTTGTCTGGCCTTGTGCTTTGACAGCAAAGTCAAAGTCTATTTCTCAGAAACCACCACAATCGCTGGTATTGAAACCTTGTATCATCAAGCAATTTTTGAATTTCACGTTCAGACCAACGCTTCTCCTCAGCTCACGTCCGTTTCTCAGGCCCCGCCCCCCGCCCCCCGCCCCCGCCCCGCCCCAACACGGAGGCCCCGCCCACAACACGGCGGCCCCGCCCACAACACGGCGGCCCCGCCCAGAGGTGCTGCTCCGCGCAGGCG